CGCCGCCGACACCGCCCGACGACCACCTCCCGACCACCCCCCGACCACCTCCCGACCACCTCCCGACCACCTCCCGACCACCTCCCGACCGCCCGCGGCCGCCCACCCGACCACCTCCCGACCACCTCCCGACCGCCCCCCGACCACCTCCCGACCACCTCCCGCCCACCTCCCGACCTCTGGGGCGCCCCGACGACCTCCCGACCACCTCCCGACCACCTCCCGACGACCCCCCCCGACCACCTCCCGACAACCATTCCGTTTGCGGAGGCTTGGGCGGCGAATGTGAACCTCCGCCGCGGGCTGGTGAGCCAAATGCGATCGATGTCGGTCGTCGATTTCCAGAGCCCTCCCAGGGCGTCGATCTATGACTGCGGGTGGGCCAGCCCTGGCCTCGGGACCGCTCTCGATCGTGGTGCGCGCCCCTGGTGGCGCTGCGAAAATGTCACATGGCCGACGCCTAGGGGCAGCGCCCTGGGGCCAGTATTTTCCCTAGGGGCTCGGGATTTTGCACCCCCCCCCCCCCCCCCCCACACCACACACACTCACACACACACACACACACACACACACACACACACACACACACACACACACACACCCACACGCACCCCACCCCACCACCACGCACACCCCGCCCCACCCCACGCACGCGGGCTCGGAATTCTGCGCAGTGCACCAGCAGCTGGGCTCGGTATTTGCAAAGTACCCCCCCCCTCCTCCGCGGGCTCGGATTTTTGCTATGTGCCCCCACGCCCCACCGCGGGCTCGGGATGTTTGCAATGCCCCCGCCAGCCGATTCCCGCTGTGCCCGCGCCCCCCACGTCATCTTGGGTCTTGGGGTTCGCGCGGCATCGCGCCCTCTCCCGTTCGTTGCGAGGCGGCGCACCGCGGGGCGCAGCGTTTGGGCGGAGCGCAGGCGGGGCGCGGGGCAGGGGATGGCGGGTGGGGTGGTGGTGTGTGTGTGTGTGTGTGTGTGTGTGTGTGTGTGTGTGTGTGTGTGTGTGTGTGTGTGTGTGTGTGTGTGTGTGTGTGTGTGGTGTGTGTGTGTGTGTGTGTGTGTGTGTGTGTGGGGGGGGGGGGGGGGGGCTCGGCGCGGGCTTCTGGCAGAGAGGGATCGCCCGCGACGCCGATGGCCCCGCGGGAGGAGACATGCGGGGCTCGTAGTCTCACGGGCCCCTCAATCCACAGAGGCGCTTCCATGCCCCACAGACCCCAAAGGCCCCGCGGGCTCCACGGCCCCCGTCGTCGCGCGTCGCAGGCCGCACATTTACCCTGGGCCCCGCAGGGCCCGCTGGCCCCACCAGGTTTCGCATGGCAGGCACCGCGGGTTCCAACGGCCCCACTGGCCCACTGGCGTCGCAGGTCTCGCACGCCCCACTTGCCCCGTCTGCCCAAGTAGCCCCGCAGGTCTCGCAGCCTCGCAGGTTCCAGGACCAGCAGGCCCCACAACCCCAACAGGCGTTGCATGCCCCACTGGACCCAAAGGGGCCGACATGCCCCGCGATGCTACACTGCGGGGCCCGCGGGCCCCAGCGGGCGAGCGAGCGCCTGTGCCGCGTCGCGCTGCGATCGCGCGGCGCCGAGCAAACGCCGACGATTCGGCACAGCCAGCGCTTGCGAACGCGCGCCCGCAGAAGCATGTGGCCCGCGGCTCGGGTCGCCAAGGATGTTGAGTGGGTGGGTGGGTGGGTGGGTGGTGGCGGGGACCTCGGCGGGCGGGGAAGAGCGCCGCGCCGCGCGCGAGGCGCGTCGCGGCAACGGGCCTGGGGCGCGGATCTCGCCCAGTCGGCAGCGCGCCATGTCTGGCAACGCGCAGCGCGCCATCAGTGCCATCGCACGCGATGTCCGCGCGCGCGGGCGCGCGGCAACATGGCGCGGCCGCGCTCGGGCAGCAGCCTGGCGCGGGCGACGCCCGCCGAGGGCGGCGCAGGCATGCAGCCCCTTGCGAAGTGCAGATGCGATGCAGCGCGAAGCTGGGCAGGCACTGCCGCGTCCATGGCGCGGGGCGGTTGCGCGGCGCCCCTGTGCGAGAGCATCGGCGTCGGTTGAATGCCAGTGCGGCGCGCGAGGCGCGTGGTGGTGCCCCGTTCGGCGCGGCAGCCGCCGCGGCGCCCGCGCATATGGTCACCGGAACAGTCGATATGACCATCCAAAAAGTACATCGGACCAGCCCAACAAGTTGATACTATCTTCCCAACCAGTATATAGGACCCCCCAACATTAGATATGAACCTTCCGACAAACTGATCGGGCCTTCACAAGAACATATAGCACCGTCCCAAAATAGATAGGACCCTCACAACAAGATGATAATTCGCCCAACACAAGTAGGCAGGACTCTCCCATCCAGTACGTAGGGCCCGCCCAGCAGGTAAACATGACCATCGCCAGCGTGAATATGAACCTTCCAAAAGTAGATAGAACACTTCCATGCTGTCAGATGACCCTCCCAAAGTAGATAGGATCCTCCCAGCGGTAGATCGGACCCCCCCAACGTGGGGCCCCCGCAGCAAGTAGGTAGGACCGCCCCACCGAGGATATCGGACCTTCCCAGCAAGTGTGTAATACGACCCCCCCAACAATTAGATAGCACCCTCACCAAAGTAGACATGGCCATCCGAGCAAGTATTGGGGCCCTCCTAACGAGCAGGTGGAGCCCTCACAACAAGTAAACAGACCTGCCCAACAATTAAACAGCACCCCCCAACAACTATATAGGACCCTCGAAGCAATTAGGTGAGGCCTTCCCAACAAGTAGATACAACACTTGCAAAAGTAGGTAGGACCTTCCTAAAAAGGAGATAGGACCCCCCCTCAAGTAGACCAGACTGTCCCCAAAGTAGATAGGACCCTCACAACAATTATGCAGGACCCCCCCCCCACAAGTAGATTGGACCCACTCCAAAAGTATATAGGACACCCCCAAACGTAGGCAGGCCCTTCCCACACGTAGATAGGACACCGCCAAAAGCATATAGGACCCTCCCAACATAGATATGACCCTCCCACCAAGTAGCTCTGACCTTCCCAAAAGTAGATAGGACCCTCCCATATGCAGATAGGACCCTCCCAACAAGTAGATGGGACCATCCGAACAAGTAGATAGGACCCTCCCAAGGCGTATATAGGACCCGCCCAACAAGTAGACGGGGCCCTCCTAACAAGAATGTGACCTTCCCAAACAGATAATCTTCCCACAAGTAGAGAGGACCTCCCGAATAAAGGAGATAGGGCCCTTCCACCTGTAGATAGGACTTTCCCAACGGTACATAGGACCCTCCCAACAAATAGACAGGGCCCTCCCAACAAGTAGATAGGACCCTCTCAAAGGCACATCGGACCCAACCCAAAGTAGGTAGTACCTTCCCGCAAGTAGATAGGACCTTCCCCAAAAGTAGATAAGACCCTCCCAAAGTAGGTAGGGCCCTCTCAGCAAGTAGATAGGGCCCTCCCAAAAGCAGACAGACCATGCCAAGAAGTGTATAGGACCCTCCCATCAAGTAGATAGGACCCTCCCAGAAGTAGATAGGACCCGCACCAAATCAGATAGGCCCCTCCCAAGAAGTATATAGGACCCCCCATCGCAAGTAGATAGGACCCTCCCAAAAGTACATGTGCCCCCCCAAACAAGTAGACAGGACCGCCCCCAAAGTAGATAAAACCCTTCCAAAAAGTAGATATGACCATCCCATTAGTAGATAGGACACTCCCAAAAGCACAAAAAATCCTCACCAAAGTAGGTAGGACCCTCCCAAAAAGTCAATAGGAGCCTCTCACAAGTAGGTAGGGCCTTCCCATCAAGTAGATATGACGCTTCGCGAATCATTCGTTTCTGGAAACCCCCATGCGTCGGCAACGCAAGCGACCAACAGCAATATGTGGACCTTATCAAAGCAAGCGTCATAAACATCTGTAGCCAGACAGCAGCGATATGGAGACCCCCATCGGGGCCAATTTCTGGGAGGACGGGAGTTTCGAGCTCTGCCGACGAGCGGTCGCGAGCGAATGCCCACTTCAGCAGATGCCCTCCTGGGCAGCACCGACGTGGTCTCTGGCCACCAGCCGACGGCGACCTTCGACCAAGGCCGCGGCCTCGCCAGCGTTTGCTCCTCTGTGCCAAGCCTTCTCTGGACCAGCGTCGAGGGCCACCTTGCGTGGTGGTGGCGTTTTCAGGTCGACCTTGGGCGTGTGGTTGCCTCGTCGCCACGCGCGGACGTCGGCTCTGGTCTGGCGCTCCGTTTGGGGAGTTTTCGGTCGGGGGCCCCAACTTCTTGATTTCTGTAGTCAAAGTTCGGCTTCGCCTGTCCGCCGTTGGCGTCGAAGCATGAAAGCGCAGCATAACCATAAGTACTTCATATGGTTGCGTGGCTTGGTGCTCTTTCGGTGTATTTGTTTCTGGGGAGCGGCACCGCCGTCGAGGTATCCTGGGATCCCTGGGGCTCTTGCCGACAGGAAAGTGGACGCTCATGCAAGGGTCCAGAGTACCGTGCCGAACATTTGTTTTTTATACTATTTTTATATAAAAAAATGTTGACCTTGCCCGGGCGGCCGCGCGCCCCGAACCCCTGAACTTACCGGAGCGACCGTGGCCTTTGCAATCGATCGGGGTTGCAGTGGATATTTCGGCAGACGCGCAGTTGTGGCGCGTTGGGCGCAGTGAGTAATTTCCCTCACGGTCTCGCCTCAACACGCGGCCACGCCGCATGATTCAATGGATGCGTCCGTGACCTTGCCCTCTTCTGAAGCCCTGGCATGCCTCGAGGAGCACCTGGGATCCATGGCTGTGCGTTGTCAGTCCCGCGCTACCCACATGTGCGATGAACGTGTCTGGCCCAGGCCAAACCCCGAAGCAACGACAGAGACCAACAGGGAAGGTCGTCAGCCCCATCGCCCCTCCGTCGTCGCCGCTTTGGTTCAGGGACGTCGCGAGTTGCAGTCCTCCCTTCATCACTTCTGTTCTGGCCATTGCACTTCACTTGCGCGTGGCTGGCAGGGCGATGGCGCCCCGCAAGCGTGCCCCGAGAGGCGATGGCCCTGCTGGCGAAGGGCCCGTGCCCAAGAAGGCCGCCCGCAGTGGTGGGCATGGTCGCGGGCGTGGAGGGAAAGCCAGGGAGGCTGCTGATGCAGGCGGTGCCGACCAGGACATCGGCGGCCTCTTCCACCTCCCAGGCGGCTCGGCCCCCCCGACCATCGGCGAGGTGCGAAACCCTGGCCTGGGCGATGCCTTGCGCAAGCCTGGTACGCCGTGCACGTGCCAGAGGTGCAAGGCTAAGTCTGCGCCCGAGACGGTGCCCCTCTCGGTCAATGCGCGCGACCAGTGCTATTCCCCCATGCCGCATTTTCACGCCCTGGGCGTGAGCTTCGCCCAGGTTTGCGGCCAGTGCAGCGCTGACAAAGAGTTCGGCGAGACCTTCGAGAAGCTGATCAAGGTGGCTGACACGGACCCCGACGAGAGGTCTTTCCCGACGCAGAGCATCCTTGCGCACAAGAGGTTGGGCTACACAGTCACTGCGAACTTCACTGCCAAGAAGGAGAGCGACATGATGTCCACCGACACGAAGGGCCTGGACCTCGAGGCCCTGGGCGAGAATACGGGCGCCATCCCGAGTCCGTTCACTGTGGGGCAGATGAACGACATGGCCATCACTAAAGACGACAGCGGGCCCTCCTTGCAGGTTAAGATGCGGTGCAAGGTGGAGCTGGAAGACCAGATCGTCAACGTGAGTCCTCAGAAGCGGGTGGCGGCAAATCAGCCTGCGACGATGTTCGACAAAGTCCGCAAGCTCCTCACCGAGTCCCTGCCCGCGAGCCTTCGCGGGAACAAGTTCCCCCCGACCCTGGAGTTCTTGAAGAGGAAGGCCTTGGGTATGATTGCCCCTGGAGACGACGGTGTGGGCGCCAAAGGCAGCGGGCAGTCGCGCGGAGATCAATATGGTGTCTCTGCAGAGCCTCCTGCTGGTAACCGTGGACTCTTGGAGGCCAATGCCGCGTCTGGCCACGGCGCGGCCCCGCCTGCTGCGACGGGCGCGCGGGCCCCCGACGCAGGTGCAGACTCTGTGCATCCTGACGACGCCGCCGCAGAAGCTCCTCCGTTACTGGGCACGCACGCGGGATCGCCTGAGCTTCTGAGGCAGGCGCCAGGGGGGGCGATGTCAGGAGGATCGATGACTGAGTTGCACCAGAGCCCCTGCGACACCAAGAGCGCGGTGAGCGATGGCGCCGCAACCACAGCGGGCGGCAACGCGAGGTATAAGCGGAACCTCACGGACCAGGAGAAGGCGATCGACCTCGTCAACCGATTGGATGCTGGCCAGGTTCTCCCGACGACTATGCAGCAACGCGTTTCGAGGACTCGGCGAAGGTCGACTCTTGCATCTCGAACGTTCGGCGCGCCAGGCTCAAGCAGGAGCAGGCATGCAAGATTGCGAACCCAGGATCCGTGGAAAAGGGCGTCTTGTTCAAGACCCTGGGTGAGCTCAAGAAGAAGGGGATGGCATTTCCCGCCAGCCTACGCGGTGAAGCTGGTCCAACTACGAGTCAAGAGCGCCAGCGTCACGGAGGACATCGCCGATGCGATCATGCCGTTCAGCATTGATGGCTCAGAGGATTTCGCTGGCGATTTGGATGGCGACGGCGGCGGCTCCAACTTCGATTGCCTGAACCCTCGCCTGCGGGAGATCCCTGCACTTGAGCCAGCTGCCTTCGTCGCCAGGTTTCGGGCGGTGGCCTCGGAGTACGTCGCGATGCCCTTGGTCAAGCAAGGCCAGTCGGGGAGGCATCTCAACGCGAGGCTAGTCGACGATATGGAACACATCTTGGAAGACGCGACCGTCGACAAGTATACAGGCACGCCACAGGATTACGACATTATCAAGAGCTGTGCCCGGGAGTTGATTACCATCCTGTGCCTTCTGGGGTCACTTGACGCGCCAGGGGTCGACAAGCTTGTGAACTTGGACAGCCTGATTGTGAAGAAGCTCTTGGATGGGAGTTTGGGCAAGTGCTGGCAGACCGCCAAGCAGGACATCGAGGGCAGCAGGTTATGGGCTCCAGCGCTGGCACTTTTTATGAGACACAGGGCGGACGAGTTCGACCTCGCTCCCAAGGTTGTCCACCTGATGAAAACGCTTGATGACATTCCGAGTTGGGACGAACAGGAGTTCTTCAAGGGCAACGCGACTGAGGTGACACGCAATGCGAAGCTGTGCAGGCCGACCGATTGCGACGTGGCGTGGGCCAAGCTGCTGGACACCATAAACACGCGGCTTCGTACCCAGACCGCCGTCGGGGAGCTCGAAGTTAAGGAGATGGGCGGCATCGACCGCTTCATCGAGGAGCTGTGCAACTCGACTAGCTTTGAGGAGTGCTCGGGTCTGAAAGACAGGATCGACGTGCTGCGCAGCATCCCCTTGGCGAAATACGAAGACATGACGCAGGTCGACGGTTCCAGGCAATCTGTGCTGACTTTGCGGATGTTCGCCTCTGCCCCGACCGTCGGTAACAAGAACGCTCTCAAGAATGCGATCTACCAGAGGCAGCTCTACTTCACCGACGCGGACCACATCGAGGCAGTTCGCCAGGCTATGGTATCGGTGAACACGGCTGCCATGGCGAGCATTAGCAAGCACTCAGAACAGGTCTCGGTCTCTCCCGAGTGGGCCATGGACATCAAGCTTCACAAGGAGCAGCTCACCCTCATGAGCACCAGGGTCAAGACGTTCGTCGCCGACGAAGGGTGGCCAGACACATACAATACGGTGTTGGCGGACCTCCTCTCCGACAAGCTGAACACGATCGCGATGGCCATCGATCTCCTCGCAGAGGGCGAGACCGCGGAGCAGCAGGTAGTCAGCGACAACGGCTTCGATGCATTCCAGGCCTTGCACGCGGTGTATCTGGAGAGCGGCCGCGAGCGCTGGAAGGAGAAACTGACGCTCGACGGTTCCGCTTCTTGGTCCGACGTCGGGGTCCAGACGAAGTACGCCGAGTTCTTCCTCATGGGGTCGACGCCCGCAGACCTCTTCGCCACCATCGGGAAGATGCTGGAGGACTTCAAGCGCGCGGGGATGGCCGAGGTGACGGCGCAGCTCGGCAAGATGGCGGACTCCGTGGACGCTCAGAAAGGATCGGGGGAGGCAGCGAATGTGCAATAACGGATGTGTTCCTCGTCGCCGCCTTCATCCAGCTCAAGCTTTGGGCTGGATGGGGAAGGCGGGAGGGCTGCATTGGTTATGTGTATAGTCGCCCCCCCCATCAGGAGGCATGACCGACGGCGCGAACTACAAGGGTGACCCAGCGTCGTTCGGGGAGCTGACCTGGGAGCAGATCCTCGAGAAGGCCGAGGGGGCCGTGTTCCCCGTCGCGCAGAGGGGTACGAGCAAGAGGTTGACGTCGCTGCGCACGAAGGCCATCGACAGCGTCAACGAGTACAAGAAGGAGGCACAGAAGCTGTTCGTCGATCTGGGCGCCGACGAGTTCTTCGCTGCAGCGGCGCAGAGGATCGAGGAGGGCGCCCGCTGCATCGACACGACCCTCAGCGAGTGCAAGATCATGCACAACATCCACCGCGACAACAAGACGGGCCTTGCGCAGAGGCAGGCGCGCGTCGACGAGGAGCTGACCAAGGCGAGCGGCACGCTGGCCGAGGGCGCCGTGAAGCTCGAGCTCCACGAGGTCATCAAGGCCAAGGCGCTGGAGTTCATGCGCGCGTGAGCTCCCAGCCAGGAGTTCATCATTGCAGGTGTTATAAGTTGGTTTCAGGCTGCCGTGGGAGTGCGGCCAATGACTTTTCACGCGTCGGCGTGAAACTTACACGTTGGTGCCCATGGTCGGCAACCCACCATGAGGGCACAGGTCGGGAAACATGATATACCTTACCATAGGTCATCATCATCGCCATCGCCACGTACATCACCAGCATAGCCACTACCACCACCATCCCAGTCACTAGCATCACCATCGCCATCATCATCAGTTTTACCATCACCACCACCAGCATCACCATGATAGTCACCATCATCACCATCACCGCCATGATCACCATCAACATCATCACCATCATCGCCACCATCATTACCGTCAGCATCACCCAAGACACCATCAACATCATAATCACAATCATCACCGTCATAGTCACCATCATCACCGTCACCATCATAAGTGCCATCATAAGTATGCTGCTATAACCCTCCCGTCCATTTTCCGCGTGCCTGGGTCGTAACATTTGATGCTAGCTGTTCCTTTCACGCCTGATGCTAGTATAGTCACTTTCATCATCCTCGTCACCATCACCACCGTCCTTGCACCAATGATGCTGCTATTATACACCCTCCCGTCCAGTTTCCCTCCTCGTAAGTCCATGTTCCCATTTCGCGCATTCCGACCGATGCGGGGCGATCTTCAGGGATGATAGAGGGGCGTTTCGATTTATTTGGGGCACGCCTTGAAACAACGCGCGGGGGCAATAACAGAAATCATGCATATGTGGAGTTCGTCGAGTTTTGTACCCCGCGGGTTTCGTCGGGGCTGCGGGGGGGCAGGAATGTCGATCAACGCTCCCGCGAAACAAATCAGGCCACCGAGGTGTTGATCTTGCGTGCCACCCTCGCGGGGGGAACCTTTGGCTGGGCGACCTTCGGGCCCGCCAGGGGCTCTCAGAGCCACCAGCGGGCGACCATCTCAAAACCATCTCTGGTGGATCCTGGCTTTGCTAGGATCCCGTGCTTCTACAGTAGTACTTCACCGACTTGTTGTTCAAGCGCCTCTTGTCGCTCGGCTGTTCCCCACGTGGCTCCGCATTGCGGCACTGGACATCCGGCGCGACAAGTGCGTCATCGTGCCGCTCTGGTCGACTGATCTTCTGCGAGCTCGCGCGGTCATCATGGACCGCCTCCCTCTCTGGGCGGGCTTCTTGGCGCCCCTTGCTGCCAAGTACCTCGGCTTCCACATCGGCCCCGAGGCCTGCCGGCAGGAATGGGCGGCGGCAGAAATTAATAATTACAGTGATCGTGCGCGCCACCTACTCCGAGTTGATGAAGGCATCGCGGCTACCATGACACAACATAACGTCCAGGCCCTCCCCGCCCTCTACTACATCGCCCAGCTACGTGACGCCCCCCCGCGTCTTCTTGCACTTCAAGACCGCGCAGTAGAACGGCTGACACGAGGGCCTCGCTACTGGCCCCCTCCCTCCGCCGCCTACCACATGGGCGCCCTCTTCGGCGCGCCGCCTACCTTCCGCGGGCTCCGGGACATGGAGTTGGCGATCAAGCTGCGTGCATTATCCTCCCCCGGGCTACGCTGGCGCGAACACTTCCGTGAACTGCGACCCCTGCAGTTACGCGACGAGCAGCGAGCACGCCCACCATCTCGACCGCGGCTGGATCGCTCGGCCGCCTGCGCCCTCGAACGCGCCGCCGGGGTTGCCGAAGACGTGCTTCCACGCCATCGGCTTCGCGACCTACTCTACCGTGGTCAGGTCGGCGCCTGCCATCACATTCGCGCAGCACGTGGCCATCCGCATCTCGAACATCACCTCCGTAAGCGCTGGGCCAAACGTTGGCCCGCCCGCCTTGTCCCCTTGCGCTCGGCGGTTCGTAGCGCGCGCCGTTGTCTAGACGCTCATGGCTCCTCCCTACCCCCCCTTTTTGCTCTTTGCCGTTAATTGCACTTGGTTTAACGGCTGGTGCACAGACCACCAGTTCCAGCGTGTTGGGCGATGCATTTTTGTCAAGGTCCAACGGACGCACTCGAGCACGCTGCTAGCTGCATCTTTGTCAAGGCCGCGTTCAGGCATGTCCTCGGCATTTCGCGCAATTCGTTTGCAGAGTTCCTCGGACTCGGTACCGACAGGGACCGTTTCCAGAGACATGCGCTTGGGTTACACGCGACCAAAACGGCCTTGGAGCACCGTCGGCTCATCTCCGGCCCGGCGGCCTGCTCGACGCCCGCCCCCTTTCGGGCTGCCCTGCAGGCGTCGGCTCGCAAGTGGCCCCGCGCCCGGCGGCTCGTCGCGAGGTGGGCGCTGCCTCCGGCTACGCCCGACTGATTCTCGACGGTTGAATCGCGAAGCCGTCGCGCTCCAGTTTTTGCCGCGTGGCTGTGCTTGGCCGTTTTGATGTTAAACCGCCAGGTTGCTGTTTTTGCTTTTGTTGTTGTTTATCTCTGTCTGTGGGTGTGCACGCCCGCGCCTGGGGTGGCTAATCAGACCCGCTTGGTCCCCTTTTCTTCGGTCCGCGGCGCTATGCTGCTGCGTCCGAGGGATTGCCAGAATTTGATTGCGTGGGATGGCATATGTTGGGCCTCATACCTCGTTTCGTGGGGGAGGAAAAATTATCCCGGCAAAGCAACCTAACAGCGATGTGTAGGAGCATATCTGGAAGAATTCCACTTAATATTCATATGAGAATCCAGATGTAAAATTCTGCTGTTCTCGCAGTCGTAGTCGCATTCGCGATGACAGTCGCAGCGGCGACGGCAGTCGCAGTCACAGCCTCTGCCTCAGCCTGCCTCAGCCTCAGCCTCAGCCAGCCACAGCCTCAGCCTGCCTCAGCCTTAGCCTCAGCCTGCTTCAGCCTCAGCATCAGTCTGCCTTCAGCCTCGGCCTCAGCCTCAGCCAGCCTCAGCCTCAGCCTGCATCAGCCTCAGCCTCAGCCTCAGCCTCAGCATCAGCCTCAGCCTCAGCCTCAGCCTCAGCCTCAGCCTCAGCCTCAGCCTCAGCCTCAGCCTCAGCCTCAGCTCATCAGCCTCAGCCTCAGCCTCAGCCTCAGCCTCAGCCTCAGCCTCAGCCTTCAGCCTCAGCCTCAGCCCTCAGCCTCAGCTCTCAGCCTCTCAGCCTCACTCAGCCTGCCTCAGCCTCAGCCTCAGCCTCAGCAGCCTCAGCCTGCCTCAGCCTCAGCCTCAGCCTCAGCCTCAGCCTCAGCCTCAGCCTGCTTCAGCCTCAGCCTCAGCTGCCTCAGCCTCAGGCCTCAGCCTCAGCCTGCCTCAGCCTCAGCCTGCCTCAGCCTCAGCCTCAGCCTCAGCCTGCCTCAGCCTCAGCCTCAGCCTCAGCCTCAGCCTGCCTCAGCCTCAGCCTCAGCCTCAGCCTCAGCCTCAGCCTGCTTCAGCCTCAGCCTCAGTCTGCCTTCAGCCTCGGCCTCAGCCTCAGCCTGCCTCAGCCTCAGCCTGCATCAGCCTCAGCCTCAGCCTCAGCCTGCCTCAGCATCAGCCTGCCTCAGCCTCAGCCTCAGCCTGCCTCAGCCTCAGCCTCAGCCTGCTTCAGCCTCAGCCTCAGTCTGCCTTCAGCCTCGGCCTCAGCCCCCAGCCTGCCTCAGCCTCAGCCTGCATCAGCCTCAGCCTCAGCCTCAGCCTGCCTCAGCATCAGCCTGCCTCAGCCTCAGCCTCAGCCTCCTGCCTCAGCCTCAGCCTCAGCCTGTTCAGCCTCAGCCTCAGTCTGCCTTCAGCCTCGGCCTCAGCCTCAGCCTGCCTCAGCCTCAGCCTGCCTCAGCCTTAGCCTCAGCCTCAGCCTGCCTCAGCATCAGCCTGCCTCAGCCTCAGCCTCAGCCTGCCTCAGCCTCAGCTTCAGCCTGCTTCAGCCTCAGCCTCAGCCTGCCATCAGTTTCGGCCTCAGCCTCAGCCTGCCTCAGTCTCAGCCTGCCTCAGCCTCAGCATCAGCCTCCCTCAGCATTCAACATGTGGCCCTGGAATGGAGTTCTGGCAACTCGAAGAACACGAAGTGGCCTACAGCTGGCTCCGGGCATTGAAAATCATGCCCAGGAATGGAGTTTTGGGAGCTCGAAGACCACGAAGTGCGTCACTGTTGGCTAAAAAAATTCCCGGCATCCCCCCCCGCATCGCGTCCAGCCCCCCCTGGGGCGTAAAGACGCTCTCTTTGGACCCTACTAGCAGTCTTCGCTGTTAGGTAAAAAGGCACAGAACTACAATTTGGGCGAGTTGATTATTTTTTTTGCGCGGATCCGGAAATTCCAAACTTACTTTTGCAACATCGCTTACTTTTTGGTTCGCCCGCCATTCGAAGGGGCCGATCGCGCCTGTTGGATTTGCCGAGGCCTCGGTGTCGTTTGCCAGTGTCAGTCCGGAATCAAGACTTGCGCCTCGCGAGCGGGTTGGAGAATGAGCGCGCGGCGAGTCTTTCAGCTGCGGGGGGGGGCGGGCG